ACTGTTCCCATCCCCCCAGTTCCCCAATAAAAATCTTAAAAAAAAAAAAAGTGTCCTGTCCCTGTACTGTTTCAATGTCAACATCTCGGTTGTGGCTGCATAATGTCGTTTTGCAAGATGTTTCTATTGAGGGAAATAGGTCACTGGGCACAAGACCCCTCTGTGTTATTACTTACAACTGGACATAAGTCTACAATAATGTCAAGATAAAGGTTTAATTATTTTTAAGTGCAAACAAACAGTAGTTTATAAAATAAGAAGTCAAATTCCTCTGTGGCCGCATGGTCTGGAGGCACCCAACCAATGCCTCCCACAGCCAGCCTTCAGAACGCCTTGCTCACACTTGTTTTTCCCCATAACCACATACCACCCACCGTTTTACTTAAAGCTTTTTGGAAACTTATTTAAGTAACATTGTAACTAACTTTTTTCTTGAAATCAACTCCCTTATAAAAGCTTATTAAATCCATGTACTTTTGCTTTGTCCTAAACAAGAATAACTTTTGAGATGTCAGTTACACTTTTTTCCCAACTCTGCATAAAATAAATACATAACTATTTTTTGAAAGGTTAGAATGTTTCTATTTGTCTGTATTCACACTGTCTTCCCTTGCAAACGTGTTGCTGTCTGGGGGTGCTCCAGGTGTATTGCTTTCTGTTTGTTTTTCAATGTCCTTGCATGAAAAGAAAGGTTCAGTGCCCCAGAAGGAAGTATTGACCTTGGAAATGAGGAAGGATGAGGAGAGCTCACTTGGAAGAGGAAGGAGAAGAGTTCACTAAAACAACACCAGCTCACCCAGGGCTGAGTTCAAATAAGCAGATAGAGAATGGACCAGAAGAAAGGTGCAGCCACGGGCAGAGGGTAGCCTGGGAGGCCTCCCCTTACACCTCTCGGTTCTTCTGGGATGCGTTGTCCACCGTGGAGAGCGTGAAAGACTTGCTCTCCCTAACCATGGACTCCTCAGTCAATATATTCCGGAGAGTGGAGGGGATGGACTTGAGGAACCGGGCGTGAAAGCCCTGGGCAGCGGCCACGTAAATGATGGGGTTGATACAGCAGTTGATGTAAGCAAGGGAGACACACAGGGCATCCAAACTAGACACGTATTTGATTGAGGGGAAGAAGACTAGAATTATCCCTGTCGTCTGGTAGGGCAGCCAGAAGACAAAGAAGCTAATCACCACTGCCATCACCACCTTGAGCGTCTTGGTGGAGCGTGTGGCACTGCGGCTCCACGTCCGGATCAGAAGGAAGGTGTAGCAGACTGTAAGTGTGACCAGTGGCCACAGGAAGCCCATAACCAGCCGTAAGACAGCCACGCCCCTCTCTTTATGGGAATTGTCTCTGCCATAGTCAACGACACACTGTACCTTGGTTGGATAGTATTCTCGGTGCACCCTACGATATAGGAAGGATGGTATGGTCAGCAGCAGGGCCAAGAACCAAGCCACACCACAGGCCACCCAGGCCAAGTAGGCCCCTCTGTAGTTCTGGCACCAGATAGGATTAAACACCAGCAGAAAGCGATCGGCGCTGATGGTGGCCAGAAGCAAGATGCTGGCGTACATGTTCAGCAGGATGAGAGAGGGGAGGATGCGGCAGGCAGCATCATCCAAGAACCAGTGGTTGTGCTGGATGAGGGTCGCAAACAAGATGGGCAGTGCCAGGCAGGAGAAGAGGTCAGCCACTGCCAGGTTGAGAAACCAGATGGCATTGATGGCTCGTTTGGCCTCGAACCCTGTCACCCAGACCACCAGGGCGTTGCCTGGCACTCCCACCAGGAAGACGGCCACATAGATCACCAGGGCAATCACATCCGGAGGGCTCAGGCTTTGGGTGTTGGAAGAGTTATCCACTGATGTATTGGGGTCCATGGAGTCTTCATAATTGTAGTAAGCAGTGGTGCTATTTTCCATGGAGTCCTGGGTGGAATCAGAGAGGCAAGGAGAGTATGAGTCTGCAGACGGGTGCCAGGGGGCCCATCAGAGCTATGTGGTTTTGAGCCCATCACTCCAATTCTTTGAGCCTCATGTTTCTCTAGGGAAATGGGGGACTGTTAAGGGCTGAGAGCCAGTCATACCACTTATTAAAATACTGAAAACCCCTCCATGCTGATTTGACTACCTGCCACCTTGCCACCTCACCCCTCACCAAAGTACCTGGATTTCCCCATGATCCAGTGACCAAATGGTGAAAGCCTAGGCCTGTTGCAACGCTGTGGTCACCATGCATTCTGATGGGTCAGTGCCCATGACACACTACTTGTTAGATATTTTTAATGTCATCAACACACTGAGATGATATCACTGGAGATTTACCCCCCCCCACCGCCACCATCACCCTCTTTTGCTGCCTTGTACCCCTGAGGCATCTCTGTGTTCTATCTGGGAGTGGTTACTCAGAGAAGGCAGTGGTTGAACAGGGCCTCACATACTCAGGCACAACGTTTAAGGGGCAGAGGGGAGACAGAGCACTGGAAAAATTCAGTCATCAAGATAAATAATATCATAATGCAATATTTTAAAGAATCAAAAACACTTATTCGAAAAGCTGTATGCACCCCCACGTTCATTGCAGCATCATTCACAACAACCAAGACATGGAAACAACACAAGTGTCTTTCAATGGATGATTGGAGAAAGAAGAGGTGGTACATCTATAAAATGGAATACTACTCAGCCATCAAAAAGATGAAATACCACCATTTTCTACAACATGGATGGATCTTGAGAATATAATGCTAAGTGAAATAACTCACACAGAAAAGGACGAGAACTGTATGATTTCACTCATATGTATGATATAAAACAGAAAGCAACAAATGAACCAAACAAAACAAACAAAAAACAAACTCATAGACACAGACAACAGAATGGCAGTTATTAGAGGGGAAGGGGGGTGGGTAGGGAAGGACGAAGAAAGTAAAGGGGGTCAAATATATAGTAACAGAAGGAGACTAGACTTTGGGTGGTGAGCACATAATGGAGCTTACAGATGTCGTATTGCAAAGTTGTACACCTGAAATTTATATGTTATTAACCAATGGGACCCCAATAAATTTAAGTTTTTAAAAAATCCACAATGGAAAAAAATTTAAATAAAGACAGTCTGCTGAAATTGTTTATTCATTTTATGAGGCTGCATTATTGTGCAAGGGGCACCCTCTAATCAGCCCACAGATTGCACCCCCAGCTGGGCAGATCTTTGCAGGATGACAATGGGCATGAAAACATATCAGGCGCTACGGGGTTTTATGTGCAGTCTCGTTGTTGAGATTTTGGAGGTTTGGGTTTTTTTGGGGGGGGATGGTTTGTGGAGATTTATTTACTTTTTCTACTTGGTTTAAACTATGGGAGGATATTCTTCTAAGTGTAGATAGGGGTGCACATGTGTCCCGACGCCCTGGGTTCCAGGATGGCTCAGCTCAGATCCCAACTGTTCTATTTGAAGCCTGCATGACCCTCAGCTAATTTCATGACTGCTCTGTGCCTCCGTTTCTTTCTGAGTTAACTCCTAGTAGCCCACTGGTTTTTGTGGTCATCATTCCAAAACCTCAGTCTTAGAGCAGAGAGAAAATATTTGGGGACAGCAAGAGGAAGAATGAGAAATGGGAATACAAAAGAGATCTTGACTCTGCTGGAGGGAGGACAGAAGGGGTGAGAGGAACAGAGTAGGATGTGAGGTCAAGAACAAAGATGATGGTTTCTAATTACCATTTGCCATCCAAAGGAGTCAGGTCTCCTTGGGGAAGGGCTGATTCCTGTTCTAGGACAGGAAATATACAAGAGGAGCAAGGAAATGTTTAATGGGGATACAAGAGACAGCTTGAAATGGCTCCCACTAGTCAAAGATGGGGCATTCTGAGTATCTAATAATAAAAATAACTGTGGTAGGATGAAACACATCAATATATAAAGACCTATGAGATCATACTGATGATAAGAACAAGCAAACCCATTGGTCACCTTTTTGTTCTGGAAAGGGAAGGAATCTAGCCTCCATCCTGCCATTTCTTTTTTTTTTTTTTTTAAAGATTTTTTT